AGAAACAAGACAGCCTGATCCACTGCCCCTTTCTGCGTGGTGATGAGTGTCCTCAGCATGAACTGAGGTCTGTCAGGTCTAAGTCTAAACAAGCGTCAGAACAAAATATTTAAACAGAAAAAAAAAAAAAAAAATCAGGAAGACTTGGTCCTTTAATATTATGCAATGAAGTCAGATGATCCAGGCATGTATTTTCATTTTGGAATCTCGTCTTTGTCATGGCTGGACAATAGGGGCATGATGTGGTTCAGAAAGTTTAACTCCTTTGGAATGATTCTCACTCTTTTCATTAAGATATTCAATGACTTTCTTTAATGTTTAATGGATCTTTATAATTGCATAATTTGCAAAGAATATAACAAATGATGAAGGGTATTACTCTACCTATTACAAAGATGACAGTATAGTTTTTTACCTTCGGACCAGGAGCTCCAGCGTCACCTTTGGAACCATCTTTTCCATCAAAACCCTGTGGGAAAGGAAAACCGTATCTGTGAATAATATTCCTTTTGTGTTCTGAAAAACTTCATTCCTCTTGGCAAAATATTAAGCTTCAAGACAAACTCATATAAAGGGGCATATTTTTAATAATGAGTGCTATCATCCATTGGAACACTTTTTGAAAGAAAATTCTGATTCGTCCATCTCTCCGTGGCCGTTAGTTGAGAGAGGATGCTTTTCTGGAAAGCATGATTCAGCCCAGCATTTGGGATGGAGCTCTACAATTGAGGTAGCAAGACGAAATTTAACAGTCTTTGCTACAGAAGGTCAGATTACATTGTCCAGAAACTGATCTTTAATTCTATGATTTGATTCAGTCTTTTTAGCTGGGAACTGATGACTGAAAGTGCACGACAGTGCAACACCATAATTCAAGTAGAGTAACAGACTCAGCAATACTCAATATACTCAATACTTACTCGTTGACCTTTCGCCCCAGGCATCCCAGGCATTCCAGGGTGTCCCTTGTGACCCTAAACACACAAATATAGAAAGATGAATCAATCCCATTTTTACTGTATGAAGGGCACAAGCCAATGTTTATTGGGTGTCATGTTCACTTGATTAACTGAAAATGGGAAAACAGAATCATTGATTAGAAGACCATTGTTATTGGGGGCTTTTCATACCGGTAATCCAGGGACTCCACGGTCTCCATTTCTCCCTGGTCTTCCTGGTTCTCCCTATGGAAAGAAAGTAAATTTTTTTGATTGCTTTGCTATTGCTTCAGTTACTGCAAAGAACTAGTCCTAGTAGATGAAGGCAAGTCAGAACAAGCAAGTGAAACTTCTACCAAATACAATGGGGAAAATTATAGCAGGGTGATGGTTGAGTATATGACTGCCTTCTGAAAAACAGTTGCCAGAATTTATAAACTCAATATTTAACAAGATTTTGGTTAACATTTAGATTATTTCAAGACAACTTTTAGGAAGAGATGATCACAGAAAACTTATTTTTCATGGTGAAACACTCAAAATGGACAAAAACTTTAGCAGATTGTCTCACCTTGTACTACACATATTCAAGACTTTCTGCTGTGACACAAAAGATGGTTTTAACAGCCTGACCTGTTAAAGCTAGACTCAAAGGGAGCAGACAACTACCACTACTGTCTGCTTTTCTTTATAACTGCTGATTTATTTTGCACCATATCAAAAGAAGGTGTTTTATGCTTAAGTTTTCCTCAGTTCTTTTAAACTGTGTCAATCAAACTGCCTGTTAAAATTGAAACTTTTTTTGAATGGATATTTATACCTAATGTAAGCCAAGTCTAGTTTCTTATGGTCATGTTGTTAAATTGAGAAGTAGGGAGAGGTTAAAAATTCTTAAATGCAATGGTATCGATGTGCTCTGTGAACTTTCTCCGCATTTATTAATCACTAAATCAATTATAGTGAACTTACATCTTTTCCTGGTGGACCAATTGGGCCTGTTATTCCAGAAGGGCCTGGAGGTCCCTGTAGAAAAAAAAAAAAAAACCTATCATAAAAAATATGAAGTCTCTTTCAAATAAAAAATGCATTAGATGTAATAAAATACTTGTACACTTGACATACATGATAGTAAACAGACAGGATGAACTGCAACATTTCAATCCACCCCCGTGATGACACAGATTCAAGCTTGTAATATCACACCTTTAGCATATATATATGCTACATATATGTGTATTTATATGTATATAATGTATACGTACAGGAGGGCCGGGTTGTCCTGGTTCTCCGGGGTTACCCTGATATCCAGCAGTGCCCTATAATGCAGCAAAATACAGTTAAGATGTGAACAGTTATGTGCATCATTCCATGGTGCTACTGTATTTTACAATAATCTCATAACCATAAGGAAAACCTTAGTCAGGGCTGTCACCAAATGACCAAAGGTGAAATTAGCAGAACTAAGCAGAATACACCTCCTTGAAAACAGAATTAAAACTACTCCTCTAAAAGAACATGTACATCAAAAAACTCAGAGCATGTGTGTTCATGGAATGAATATTAGGATTTCTAGTTATTTTTATCTCCTGTAAAATTTTTGTATGAATAAACATTTGGGAATGTTAACAGAGGATGATAGGCAGTGGCATATCTTAAGACAACCTTAGCTGACACCCCACAAAAATGCAGAAAGTGCGGGTGAACACACGGACTGAAGCAAGCACAGTGTTTAGCACTGAGCCATCAAGTCTTGGTGGTGCACAGATACTACAGCCCAATTAATAGAAGATGACATTTACCCATAAAATTCTTCAGCATAGATTTAATCAGTTGAAAACTTATCTGATATTTATGACAGAGAAAATGATAGGCTCGTAGAAAAGAATGAGTTGATAATAAAAAGACTAATTTTACTTACAGGGGGACCTGCTTGACCAGGTGGGCCAGGGGGGCCACTGGGGCCAGGGGGTCCTGGAAATCCAGTCTATAGTGTAGATTAAAAAACAGTCATTATATTACTGTAATATATCTATAATGTAGTTGCAAGAGTCACCAATAACTGTGAAATAAATTTTTACATATTAGTATAGAGAAAAATCCACGGTGACATGCACTTGGTGCAGTAAAAAAGATAAACCAGTGTATATAAACATTGTTAAAAACATTGTCTAGTACCTACAGTCCCCTCAGAAAAGTTTTCTCTTTGCAGCCTTAGCTAACATACTGAACAAAATATTTCCAAAGCTGTAATTTTTTCTTTTGAGTCACTATTCCACTTCTCTAGACCCCCAGAAAGATGCTCGCAGCTTAGCTTTTCAGCTGCCTAAACTGGTGGAATAGATAACTGGAACTCTTAATTTGTTAAACAAAGTAGATGAGCTTCAGCTTCTCTGCCATGTAACTGAGCTTTATTAGCCTAACCTTACATCTTCAGTGGTGGAGCCAAAGTCTACTAAAACTTGTTCATTAGTCTGTTGATGTCAGATTTTGCTTTCTAGAAATAATTTTTAAATTTCTCACTTGCATTCAGGAGCTATATTACATATACATACAGAACCCATTAGAAGAAACTTGTATAATAAACCTTGTTTATGACCCTCAACCTATTAGGACTTACAGGTATACTGAATTACGACCATATTTTTCTTACTTGTCAGTAAGGCAAACATTTTCACCACTGACATTTTATCTCAACTTTAACAGTACCAAGCCATAAAAAATAAATGATGTCTGGACTAACCAAAGGACTCAGAGAATGAAATCTCAATATACGTTATGTTTTGACTCAAATCAGTAACACTGCTCCTTATTTTAACTGGTAAAAAGGGAGTAAAATATTATTAAGGAAATTCTCAATTTGGGAAGAATGCTAATATTTCTGCTTCCTGTAACAACGACCACAAAAGCTTCTGATACTGCAAAACAGAAAACATTTGAAAATTAGCACAGTGGTTTACTGCAGCTATATGTGGTTCTTTAAAAATGCTTTTGTTAAATTAAACTCACTATGGGTTTGATACAGCCAAAACAAAGCATACAAATTACATGAGAACTACTGTGTGCTGCAGTACTGGCAGTATATTCCATGGCTTAATATTGCACACAGTGTGTTTCATGGGATATTGTCGTATGGTGTCAGAATAGGTCAGGTGTTATAGAGGTTACAGAAACATAAGTTTGATATAGTATACTACTATACTACACATATGCTATGTTAATATTAGTTCACAGATTGTCTTTTGTCTAAAAAAGAGAATCACTGTGATATTTGCTATGACAAGAAGCACACCAAGTGGCAGAGCACTTAATATCTGGGTAAATCGGTTTGCCTTCAATGTGCAAATGCAATGAGCAGTCCATCACTCTTAATTGTGAGAACTCGTTTGGTACAAATTAAGTTTGGACTTGGCATGAGTTGGAACCATCAACTCATCAATTGCAATCAATCAATTAGACTTATGACTAGAAAAAAAGAGGCATTATTTTTTTTCAAGGTGCACTCTGAGGAGATAAACTGATGGTTAGGTGTGGCATTTGCTTCCTGCCAGCATCTCCAGGCTGTGAACAAATGAGCACATTTTAGTTAGAATACATGCACTGGTGGAAAGAGGCAAAGACAACGTGTGGATGTTATATGAGCAAGTACAAAATCAGCCTGAAAGCAGTGGAAAACCACCAGAAAGACGGTAGTGGAGGGATGCATGACTGAGGAAATACCAGCCATGGTAACCACCCATGGACAAATGTTGGTGCTATAGCTGGCATTTTTTATTTCATTGCTCTTCCAAATGATTTCACTTTGGAAATTTATTTAAATCGAAAGTTTAAGTTGAAAATTGATAAATTAAATTTACAAATTACTAAATAAATTAATCTATATAATGCTAGTGATAAATATTACTTAGTTCTAGTGAGTTTAGCCACATCTGCCTGTAACTGCACTGTTACTGGCTTTGCAGTCATGCATTGCATGATGCAGTATAAAAGAAGATATGACCTGAAAGCACACAGACCAGCTGAAGACATTCTAGGGTGCCCAATTAATTAATTTTATTTTTTTTTAACACAAGTCTAGAGATCAGAGCACAAGAAATCACTAAGCACCTCAGGGAAAAATGCCAAAATAGAGAGCAGTAACCATGTTTATTAGCTGAAAGGTATCTCAGTTATCCGCCTGGTTCAGCACATCCCATATTAAGGCACCAAGTAGCAAAATGTAGATGATATGATAAGCTGTGGGCAACAACTGTGAGGAGCTGAAAATGAATAAATGAATAAACAAATACAAAAATGGATGGTTGAAGAAGACCTTTGCATGGATGATCATATTAGCAAATGAACAAGGTAGAAATGAACAGATGAAAATAAAGGTGAGAAAACAATGAACTATTTTTCAGGAAAAACAGATGTTGTGGTTAGTAAAATTTATTTCACAAGATGATCTGATGGAACCCTAAGAAATAACACGTTTGCTGGGAACTGCCTTGATATGCTACAACATGTGATACCCAAAACTTGTTATGCAGGATTGGACTGAAAATAATGATTATGCTTAATGAAGCAGCAGCCAATTTCAAATAATAGCAATGCACCACATCCTCTATAGAGCAGATTGCCTGAATCTCCACGTCACCGGTGTCGAATATCTCTAAATCCTAGTGCCTAAAAGGAAAACCATGAGGTGCAACATTTAAATTGATTTTATACAGGAAGCATAGTTCATGCATAACTCTTTCAGGCAATCCATGCTTTATTTTACAAAAAAAACCTGTGAAAAGCTTGGGCCAGGCCTAACAGGCAAATACAGTATCCTTAGTAAACAATCTGAACAGCTGTGGGTAAAAAAATGAGAACTGTAAGAAGAAAAAGTGAAAAGCTTTTCACTGCTTCTGGGATGAAAAAAAAAGATTATAAGAGGGGTTTACTCACTTGTTATCAGGCAAATCTGAACTGTGGAAAAGTAAACAAGTATGAAGTATCATACTGAGCAGAGACAGAATGCTGCTGGATGGATAATGGAAGATTAGGGACAGTGGAAGAGGTAAAAAAGTGGTGGAAGGGAGGGAAGTAATTAGTAGAAGAATACCAAAGCAGATAAATGAAGAGGTTATGCAAGGGAGAAAGGACTAAATGTTTAGGTAAGTGAATCAGAGAGAGATTAGGTAAGAAAAAGAAGAAAGAGAGAGAAAAGGCAAAAGCCCCAGATTATCTATAGTTACTTTTTAGAATTATATTGCCAGGCAAATTGCTGCCTTACATTGCATTCCACTTGCAGGCAACAATTAAATGAAAACTTATCTTGTTAAATTAAAATCAGGATACGTACACATCCAAGGTATAATCTATGAAGAAAGAAATGATAGAAAAAAGTCTATATCATCTTACAATGGGCTGTGGGTAACCGATACCAACTGAACCGGCCTTCACATCATAGGAGTCATACTGTGGAGAAAAACTCTGTAAAAGAAATAGAGAAAAACAGAAAGAAAAAAAAAAGAAAAAAAAGAAAAAAAAAGAAAAAAGATTGATCAAATAAGTCTTTTCTTATATTGGCATGACAAATGTATGGAAATAACTCATCTGTATCTACTGAGTAGTACTTGTTTGATATACAGCTGCCGTATTTTAGAATCATCCATAAGAGAAGCCCAGTCAATATCTTTCTTTTGTGGTCATGGTAATGTTAGCTCCCTACATTGTGCACATCCAGGTTTCATCTTGACAGCTGGACCTCAGCTGAGCCAAAATTTACCTTCTCTCTCCTCTTCTTATTCTTGTTTGACTCTTTTAAAGCTTTTTCCCCCTCATTTTCTTTATCAGCCTCTTTTCTGTTGGCCTTAGTTGCCACTCAAGGAAGTTGATGAAATACTTTCTGTTGCTCTAAAGAATGCAACAGTTTAACAGTTTACTATTAGTCTCCTAATTTCTTTTACCTGTGACTAATGAATGTCTCATTTCAGAGTATTTTGTAGCAAAAAAATCTCTTACCTACATATAAGTTTGTCCTTCCCTGAATTACAAATAATTTTTTTCTACCTCATGCATGGGAACTTACAAATCTCAGAAAATTGAGTGTTATGCCTTTTTCCTAATGCCATTTTCCATCTTTCCCTTTCTCCCTTCCCATTCTCTATGTCACTCCAAATAATTCAAACACAATCATCAGTTTTGAGCCTGAGCAGCCAAGCCTCAATGCTTTTGACAATTTGTCTTGAAACAAATGGAAGCTCAGTCCAAGGAATGGAGTGAAAACGTGTCCTGTGGGCCTTTCTGAGAGCAGATAGCATCTTTGGCACACCCATTTACATAAACTGTTGTTTCAAAAACTAGAAAACTATAAATTCTACAGTCAGTTTTTCAAGGAATTCCCATGTAAGCCTCTTAATTAGCATACGTTGATTTTATTATGCAGATGTTAGCAAATTTAGTTGAATAATATGTCATTGATGCAGTTTACGCATTAATGGCACATAGAGGTGGTTGTGCAGGGAAGGTTGAATACATGCAGTGTTCTGCCTGATAACCCAAACCACTGCAGACCCAGCTCATTCGCTGACCAGGCACAAGACTCCTGGGCTGTCGATATCAACCCCCTTGTCAGGATTCAACAGCACATCTTGGATACAGCCTTGGAGTGGCTGACTAATTCAGCCTATCAACCTCTCCTGCATCTGCATCTGCTAACCCAAGCCCAGGTAGCTCTCTTGCTGTGTTATATGATGTCCACTGAGACCGGTTAACTGATCCATGGGTGCTTCTCCCAGAAACTCAGCCCTTCAGATGCAATCCCTTTCAGAATTAAATAAAACCAAGACATCTTTCCCCAGTTTTTGGCTTACCTGGGAATGGGAAACATACAAGGAAGCTATAAACAGTGGCCTGTGTTCAAAAGTAGCAATTGTTTTAACATAGGACTTTTAACAGCTTTGTACTAAAGCAATTCCATCTTGTAAAGCTAGGTTTTCTCGATTGCATGGGAGACAACATGATCTCTTAACAAAATACTATCTGTGGCTCAGCTGCCTCAACAAATCCAACTGCACAGAACCTTTAGTTAAAATTAGCTCTCTTGTTGCATCTGCCCAATGCTAAAGAAGAGAATTCAAGATTCAGTGGGCCACAAATAAAGATGGAGCATGACAAATAGTACTTATGTGGCGCTTCACTGCAAGCACAGGACCTGTGTTTTGGTCTAGTCTCCTGGGAATGTTTCTTTATTAAAGATGCATTGGATAAAATATAGGAAAGAGAGTTCCCTAACCGTTAAGCTTGAGGGGACATACTTCCTTCTGCATGCTTTCTTTCTGGTCAGATTATTTCTGACTTTCAGAAATCCTTCTTCAGGTCTGGCTCCAAAAGTTTTAAAAAATAAGATAAGGCAGAGATTTAATTGCACTCTAGCCAAATTTTGTGGACAAAGCCCCAAACCAACAACAAAACCACACCTACCACTCAGCTGTGTTTTTCAAAGGCACAAATGAGAGGCAGATGCCGCTGAAAGCAAAGTATGTGTGAAGGGGCAAGGGCTAGGTGCCTATAGTATTGCTCTGTATGCTTATGAGCAACAAGGTAGAAGCTGAACGTAATGATGACTTACACCTCCATTTATACTGGGACATGACTGGCAGATTCCAGGCGGGCCAGGAGCTCCAGGACTTCCTGGCTGTCCCGGAGGGCCAGGGGGACCGTTTCTGCCTGGAACCCCAGGAGAACCCTGCAAAGACACAAACAGAACAGATACAGATGTCGGCACTTGCCTCCAACCGCAAGGGCATCGGGGGACAAACCCTTCTATTTGTAACAAAGCCTGTGCAACTGTGGTGGGAAACTTTCGCTGTTAAACATAACTAAGACCATAACTGAACATTTAAGGAAGACATAGACAGTAGACAAAATTCACGCATGGAAACACTTCTTGCGGGAGCCTTACTGCAGCTGATATTTGATCAAACACACTAGAAATATTAAACAGGTCAATTCCTGAATCTAAAATTAATACTGCTAGTGGAGTCCATAGATTTTTTTTCCTACTAGGAAGAAAAATAACAAAAAAGCCCCAATATAGTTTGGCCTAAAATCTCTCTGTTTTTCCTGTTTAAATTTTTGAGAGTTCTGTTGAATCTAAAAGACTACTTCAAAGTAACTATATGGCACAGTCCTGTGGACAGTGCAGACATGAATGAAAGCTGGATATCTCAGCATCTTGAATGGGATATATAGCACTATAGGAATTGGCTCTTGATTTTGTTAGTTTCCTTGGGAAAAAAAAAGCTGCACTTACAGGGTCTCCTTTGGGGCCTTGGCTGACCACTCCAGGAGTCTAGAAAAAAAAGGAAAAGTAATTAAATTAAGAGAGAAAATCAATATAAAACCAAACTCTGAATATATATATATATATATATATAAAAACAAGAGGAAAACACATTTAAATATTTGAATATAATTTTATCAAATGAATCCCATTTATTCTTATTCAATATATTTTAAAGCTGTGGGGTTTTTTGTCAGTCTTTCATCTGCATTTTCATGGTTCATCCACAAAGCTACACCTCTCCTGTAGGCAAAAACATGGCATTAATGAAGTCAGTAGAGCTTTGCCATTGAGCACAATGGGGACAGAATTCCATGGTGGAAAGCTGTAAGGGATAGTTTTCTTGTATCCTTCTAAGTCCAGCATGTTAAGTGTGTTAATGTAGCTAATTTCAGATCTACTCCTCCAATTTATTTATTTTTCAATTAATAATTCAGTTACATGTTACTATCTGGATTTTCAATTATAGTTCAGAACAGTTTTTATGTATTCAGCTGCTAGTGGTAACGGACAATATTCAGCTGAAACTATCTTGGATCTTTTAAGGTGGCATTTCCCTATACAGCATCGAAGGTCAGCAGGATGTTTCTAGTGGGCTGACCAAACACTTTTATGTCAAAGGCAGAGGCTGGAAGAAGTAGTCCACACGTCCTTTATTATCAGGAGCCACAGAACTGATTCTAAAAGAGTATCCAGCCTGAACAAGAGCGGGAGCTGTGCTTGAGTCTCCAGCATGCTTGCATGCGCCACTTGGTTACACATCTAAAACTGTTCAGTGAATTAGCTCGGGGAATCCTGGAAGCAATACATTTGCACCAGCATGGTGCAACTAACACTAGGTGATGTATTCGTACACAACATTTCATGTTTAAGCAGATATACCATAGAGCTGCAGAAATAGATCTTCTCCCTTTCTCTTCCATATACACATCTTTTTCACTCTCTTAGCATCTGGATAAGAATCTTCAATGTGACTGTGGAAATCTATGTACTTCAACAGAATCTCGTGGATCTTAAACAAGGATGAAATGTTCAGATAACCTTAGAGCCTATAACTGGCTCACTCAGTGAAGCGATTTAGGCAGGGGACTTGGCATGCATTAACATTCTTGATTTTCCTGAGGTGAAGTTGCTTCAACTGGTTTAGATAATGTTGGTATCTATCCTGCTCCTGTGGGGGTTTGGACTAGATGACCTCTAGGGGTCCCTTCCAACCCAAAACATTCTATGATTCTATGATTCTATGATTCTATGATTCTATAAACAAGATGATGACAAATTAGGGAGGTAGGGCTTGAATCATCTCTCCTTTACAGGGCGTTAAGTCAGCAATAACTCTGCAAAAGGAAATTTACTCTGTGATGATGTAGAACTGAGTTGATAAGAAATGCAGACTCGCAGTATGCTGTGAAAATTGTCTAACTTTCTTTAACTCCATGTTGGCATTAGTTTTGTGGATATAGATTAAGCATGCAGCCAACAAATAAGCTGTTTGCATTATGCCTATGCTTCTCTCTAAAATGAAAAATGTAATGGCTAATTGTTGCCCTCTGTCCCTTTCTACAATTTATCTTTGCCTGTTTTCTATGTAAAACTGGGTTGAAGGACTTCATCCTTTCAGCTGCATAGCCCAAAGAACTAACAAATATTTTATCAGATCTGGTACCAATTCTCTGACAGAATGCAGAAGTATTCTTGAATTTAACAAAAATGATAAAACTCTGAAATTTAAAGCAGGTTTTTTTTTTTTTATTTGGCAAAATTTGCCCATCCCAAGTGTTCGCCTAGTGTCAGGAAGTGACAAGCTTAGCATTTAAAATAAAAGTGTTTAAGAGCATCTAAAAGAAAATTATTTGAGGTTGACATGGATCAAGAAGGTGGCAACACCAAAGTAACAACACTGAGAACAAACTTACTCTTGGAGGTTGTGTTGTTGTTTGTGGACAAACTGGACAGCACTCTCCAAAGGGAATCTCTGGGTTGGGACAGTCTGGCTCCTGATCGTCACAGATGATGTCATCACAGAGAACAGATCCTGAGTCACACACACAGATTTGGCATGGTTCTGGTTTCCAAACATCCCTGTCAGCATAAGCCTGCCCAAGATGGGTACATCCTGTGACTGGAAAGAAAGACAAAATAGTGTTCAATATTATTTCAAATGTGTTTTGCAAATCAAAGAGGAACAACATGAAAGCTGTTGGATAGTCTGTTTTGTTTTCTACTGTAATATAGTTTATGCACATGAAGTAAAAGACTAAGTACTTCTTGTCAGACGCTGGGAGGATCTGTTACATTAATTGCAGAGTCTGCTCTGAATCTATAAATAGACATCAATGGAAACCTCCTGGAGCTGATCCAAAGCCCAATTAAATCTGTGATAATCTTCTGTCTCAAGTAATTTTAATATCAGACTGAGTAACTGTGTAATTAGCAATTGAATTCTTTGCTGCAGCTAAAAAGTAAATGTGCCAAATCCCTCAAACAAGTGTATCATTGGCCCCTGTGTGCCAGCATGAGCACTTACACATGGATGCGGAATGAGCTGTCCGACTAGCATGAACTCTTGTTGCTAGCGTCATGCATTAATAGCTAGCACTAAGTGTTTTCAAAGTGTTTTCCCAAAGCTGAGGTATGTGATAGATCTAAAAGAATATTCACATTAATTGCCCAAATGGTTTGCAATTAATGTGTCATCTGGCCTCCTCAAATGTTACATGTATCTATATTTTCAGAAAAAAATATTGTTCATCTGTAATAATCATGGTTCTGTGAATTCCTTCCAACAGCTATTCTACTGATTAAATTTTTTGTAGATAATTAATTTGAAGAGACTGATGAAAAGCAGCTTCAAACATTAAATTTTGGGGTTGTATTTTCTTAGAGAAACAAGATCCAAAAAGCCCGGTCATTTAAACAACCAATATGAAAATAACACTACAAAGTTAGACATGCTCCTTGTAAGTTTTATGGAAGTTATTAGAATAAATATAAGTATCTGTGAATGTCTTGAATAATGGAATAAGATTTTTTTCCCAAGAATAATTCAAAATAATTTCATTTATAAACACAAAATTCTGGAGAAAGAGCTGTTTGTGTACCTACAACATCCTTAAAACTTTACTAGTAGAATAAGTTACCTACTACATATCACCCTTCAAAAAGTAAAAAAAAAATGCCGAAAGATGTAATTCAAAGCTCTGACATTAAAATTACCACTGGCTCCAGGCAGAAAGTGCTGAATGCCATCAGATTGTTGTAATGGTCATAATTATGTAGTATGAGACTGAGTCCAAATTTATAGTGCAGTCCATTCCTATGGGTCATGCAGTCCCTTTTTCTTTTGTCACATGCGGCACCTTTCATCTCTGTTTTTTCTCTTTTCCACTACTGTGTTAGCACACTGGTCTCTTTTTTCTCTTCTAACCAAATTCTAAAACAAATTCTTTGTTTTTCTTTCTCTGTATTTGCGGGTATCTGTTTCCATACCCACACCCATCCTCTTTGGCACAGTACACACTTGCACGTGTTTCCTCTCTTCTCGTGCTTCTTCTCCTTCTGTCTCTTTTCTCTCGATTCTCTTTCATCTTTCCCATAATGTGTAACTTCCCTTTTCATCTCCCCTGAATCCTTTTGTCTTTTGTACCCAAACAGTTCACCTTCTTTACTGCCATGTACACAAAGCTTCATTTTTCAGACTCTGCTCCCTTTTCAGTGTTTCACTCAGCTGCTTTTCCTTGTCCATTTAACCCGACTTCTTCCTCTATGTCACCCATGAGATGCATCACCCCCTTGTATGAGATCTGTCAGGGCAATGGGGAATACAGCCAAGACATCCTGGCTCACTGAGTGGAGAACCAGAGTGGGGATCTCAGAGCTGGGCACTGCATGGGACAGGAGGTTTCTTTTCCCAATTTCAACACTGCTACAGGCTTTCTGCATACACCAACTTCGGTTATTTCTGCACGTCAATTATAAAAGAAGCAAATGAGAAAATGTTGATTTGTCAAGGCTGACACTGCTTATGGTTAAGAGTTGGCTTTGACCACCAGCTTGATTAGAACACCAACAAGACGCAAAAAGCTTCAAAACCCCTTTTCAGATATTTTCAAGCCAATGTTTTTTTCTGTGTCTGATCAGGCTTGGAGCCAGTATTTTACCTTTCTTTGACAATACAAAAAAATCTTAAAATCTAAAATATTCCAGCAGCATATGAAAACTAATCCCCCTCAGACTTTTTCTATCACTTAGAAATTAACTTTTTACTTTTCCCTTCGGTTCTACACCTTTTGGGCTTCACCAGAAACTTCAGGTCCTGCACAAGGGAGGTAGAGAAGAACTGCTTATCTCCAGGACAGCATCTTCCTCACACCCACCATGACACAGGGTCATGGCATCAGATGCTGCTTCAAAGGACACCGCCTAGCAGCCTCCACCTCTGAGGAGGACCTAGACATCCTTTCTTAGTCTGCCAAGCTAGATTTAGTTTCTGAAAAACTGGCTTGGTTTGCCAGCTCTCACACCACAGAATCCTGCCAGTGGATTCCCTGTGAATAAGCTGATTCTCTGCTTAATTAATTGCTGACTGTTTCTGCCAGAAACTTCTTCTTCCTTTAACAAATGAGGATTTCACTGCGGACACCTAGGAAAAAAACCAGACTGCCCAGCTTTGACAAATGTTTCCTGACAAAATAGAAGGCTGAAATGTATTTTTTAAAAAGAGAAGTGCAGTGTTATGAATGAAATCTTTTTAAATAGTCTCTCTAATCACTCAGGGAAAAACCTCAACTATAAAGTGACAAAAGCTGAATAGCTCCATGTACGAGTGGTTCGCTGTATACAAGCAGACCTTGAAAGCAGTAGACTGTGAGGGGCAGAATACCATCAAGGGAGGTTAGAGCTGCTGATCTGTCTGAAAGGTGCTGGTTGGATGGGCCCTACAGAGCATGGGTGGGCATAGCTCCGCTTCATCCCAGCACAATGTACTCAGCTGTCACTCTGCTTAAACACTTCCCAGCTCCACAGGTTGAAATGTCCTTCTCATTTACAAACATAATGAGGAAGGGAAGAGATGATTTTTCTTTTGTTTAGGGCATAACATGGTTTATACATAATTGGCAAAGAAAAATACCATGATACAGAACTAAAAGAATTAATACAGTTACTGTGTGCACATGTAATGTCTGTTTTATGAATTGCACACACATAAAAAAATGCATAGTGTACACACACTTCTGTACCCATAAGATGTGTTTGATTATTTTTGATATTCAGATTTTCAGCTCTCAGTATCACTCTCTTATCCTTTCAAAACCACAAGTTTTCTTAACTCTGTCTTTAAGAGAGCAAGATTCTTTTTTCTCCAGAAAATATTAATATTCAAGAATTTGCATTTTCATATGACAATTTTTTCTTCATCCTTACTTTATTTTCACTGTTTTGTTTTGTTGTTATTTCCAGAAATGTGATCCTGCTGCCTGACAATGAAGAGGCCAGCTCTAATGGGGAGCAGAAAAGGGCCATCTTTCCCATATTTTTGCATTGCTGGTTAGAAAAGATTCTGTTTTCAAGACAGCTGCCCTTTTCTGAAGCAAAGGGCTTTTCTCAGTGACCAATTTTTCACACTGAGAATACTCACCTTTCCATATTTTAGTCAACAATATCCATTAAAATCATGAAAATTTAAAGTGTGTCACAAAACAACAGACATAATTTTACAGTAATAAGGAAATAAAGCAGATTTCTCTGCATTTTTACAAGGTTGTCATTCAGTTATTCTACAGTAGATGGCATCATTTAACAGAAAGAAAAGACAAAAAATTGTAGCCCTCAGGATATAATGACATTCATATTTGCTTCTAACTTTCTGGACATTGTTAAATGAATTAAGAAATAAGCTAGGAGAGCTGCAATGAAAATCGTTGCGGCCTTTGGCAGAATGAAAATATTAAAAAGGTTTCCAAAGGAAACTTACATCTGGGAAGACTTAGTCTGTTCAAGACACCCCCTCTGTGCTCAGATGTAGATCTGTGTGTCAGCATGTTATGACATAATGCATTTTGCAATGCTCATAAAGATTAACCGTTACCTCCAAAATCCTTTGGAAAGCTGATTTGTGCAAAAGCACTGGCAAGTAGCATATAGGAATAACAAGGTTGTAAAAAAGCTGACTGGCCTACTTCTAGACTTGCAGTAAAACAGTCACATACTTGCCTTAGCCAGCTTTTCTTATTGATTCCTGAACATATATATTAGCCTAAGATTTAAAAAAAAAATTAGACCTCAACAGTATTCGCCTCTAGCAATACAAAACCTTATTCTTCTTCCCAAAGCCCTAAATGTGGTGGCTATACAGCACTTCACTTCCATGACAGTTATTGCAATGGTTTGTGGGAAGCTGTGTCAATCTCTGATTCATTGTACAAAACATTAAAGTTTAATACATGAATCCTGAATAACTTTGCATTTATACTGTTTACTAAGCATTCATATTTTTAAAGGTTTTGCTGTGAGTAACATTTCCCTGGGCCAGCCTAAAAAGTGAAGAAAAGAAAAAAAGACAACACAATCTTCGTCATATGCTGGTTTTGAATTATTTCCCATTTTCTAAGCAGCCTAGCAGCTGTATGTAAGCAGACCAAGAGGGAAAGCTGGAAGGAAAATCACCATTTTGTCTCAAAGGACCTATAAGTGTGGTACATAAAAGAGCCCAAATGTGTACTGGGGAAAACAAATACGGTTGTTGTAGGCCTTAAGGATGACAGATGTCATATGGGACATATTCCTGATTCTAGCGAGGTGAATGGGAATTTGTTATCGAGTGCTATGACCTGGGAAGCTGACCTGTTTTGTGGTTCCTTTTGGCTTTGCATTTGTGCAAGCACCATGATCAGGACTTAACCACATTTATATGGCAAAAAGAAAAAATCTAATAGTATCTGCAAAAACCACAGGCTTTTCCACTTTGGACAAAGCAAATCTCCAGCTCTTGCATTAATAGCAGACTCATATATCCCATTTGCAGGGATGTGACTAAATGGTTAGAAATTAAAGAACATCTTGAACTTGTCTGGTTCTGCCTCAGAAAGGGCAATAGTCCACACAGAGGTGACTCATGATCCTCCAGCAGCCTCTTGATAATGGCTTGAGAAGCAAAACCGAGGAGCTTTGATCTGTGAGAATCTGATTACAAGCACAATGAGTCAAACAAACAGTTTTTCCTGTTATTTAAAGTGAATCTGTTAAAGGCTAAGGCACTGAAATGAAGGAGGGCTTGCCTGTGACTGGATCCAAAGTCTGCCAAAGCTAAGAAGGGTCTTTCTGTTGCTTTTTTATGGACTTTTAACTGTGCAA